TTTTTAGTGTGAAATGCTGTTATTATATGCATAAATTGTTGTTTAATAATATTGCGCTTAACCACTTGGGCTGGACGGTAGAGCGACGGTCTCGTTTCCTACAGGTCCGCGTTCAATCCCCGACCGCCCAAGAGGTTGGACACCATTCCTTTCCCCGTTCCATCCCAAATCCGTATCCTGATCCCTTCCGAGTGCTATATAGTCGTAATGGCTTGGCGCTTTCACTTGATAGTTCCCCCACCCCCCTGAATAATATTATGAGAGCAGTATTTACGGGCTATTCATGCCCGTGCCACCTCTTGGGTGGCTTAATCTTCCATCAATCGAGAGCAGTACGTCCTAACCAGACGTTATATGATGATATCCTGAACAGTTGATAAATAAAAGTAATTGCGGAACTCCAGTTATCTAATACTTATCATAAATGGTATAAAACCTTATCATAAGCCAAGGGATTTGTAGATCAGTGTTTAAAGGGAATTCGGAAGTAATAATAACACAGCTGATGCCATCTGTCGGCAGAAGAGAACACTATCAACTGGCTGGTCAACAGTGGCCATAAGGTACAGCTTACGCCATCTGTTGACACCAAATTACACTTATAACAAATTACCCCACAAAATACAACTAGCGCCATCTCTGTTTTTTCCAACGCACTATAAATAGCCAAACAGCAACCCATAAGGTGGGTTGTTGTGCTCGGGTAGGAGGTTCCAAGCTCCGCCCACAGATGGTATGGGGTGCATAATAAATGGAATATCATTGGTAGAAACTCTTTGTTGACATTCACACAACAGCCAATCACAGGAAGGGATCAGCTAAAGGCTCCATCAACTTAATAAATCATCTTTATTCAGCACACCATCCTTGCTTATGACATTCTGCTTCAACTTTAATCTACCTAAAAAGTGAAATGTTAAGTATTTAAAAGTATTAATATAGTGATAATTAAATACTGCAGGATGTAACGGGTGTTACAGAAACATGGGCTGGCTACCTGACTTGTGACGTCATCAGTGGTGGTTGCCTCACACAAATAATATCGGCGATATAATGCCTCCGCCCTCTTATTGGTCTACATTATTCAGTTAGATGGAAATTTCTGTCTTGTATAAAACAGAAATTGTTGTTCTTTTGTACAACAACAAGGTTATTGAGCAAAAGGACGTATTTCTTATTTTGCATTTTATTCATATAAGCGTTGGCATTCCCCGCAACAGCCAATCACAGGAAGGTATTTGTTGGAAACTCTGCCTTTAACATAAGTTGATTCCTAATGAACTCTAACAATAAATTCGCTTAATAAACGAGTATTTAGGGTCAAGCTACAAATGAACATTATAGGATAACGGTGTTTTAGCTTGCAGCTTCGTTAGACAGAATCCCTGGTCTTAATTTTAAAAATAAAGAACTAAAAAGCGTATTTTATTGCTAACTTTTCGAGAAATAAGTCCCAGCCTCATATTTGCAAACATTTACGCATTGATTTTTTGGCTTAAGTTCAAATCATAATTCCTTTTGCAATCTCAACACCATCTGGCTCGTATCTTGTAACTATCTTCGTTACACCCGTAAGCCTATTTTCTGACCAGGGGGAGAAAGATACTGGCAGTATGGGGCGTTAAAGTTTATTGAGGATTAAATTCTGCAGAACATGTAAATATATAAAGTTCAAATATAAAGTAAGTAATTATATAAAGTCTATATTAAACACGGTTTATATTATAGACTTATAACAAAGTTGATATTATATTAAACTTAATATTGAACATGTAAATATATAAAGTAAATATATAACGTTTATACCAAAATATATAAAGTAAATATATAAAGTAAGAATTAACAGTAACAATTCCAAGTCCGAGGCCTAGATTTAACTTAAGGTACACCCGTAGTAAGTATGAGACCTTAGCCTATAGTGACATGGAAACTAATTCTGCAGAAACCTAAAGGTTAACTGGTACTAGAATTAAGGCCGAGTGCAAATGTGTAGTAATTATATAACACTAGGATATAACAGGCAGGACACAAAGAATAACTAATAAGTGAGAGACCACATAACACGTAATGTACCCGGCCAAGAGGCCGTAAAAGACCTAATGGATAAGGAGAAGGGCAGCGGCGAGGGCGGGCGGAGTGAGGCAGAGCCATGAATGAATGAATTAAATATAGGTCAAGATACCCTAATGGGTGAGCGTGGAAGTGGGGATAGGGGAAGAATTAGTGGGGGTGAGAGGAAGGGTTTTTAGTATGAGGTAAAGTGCCAGGGCTAGACCCAGCTGCATGGCATTGAAATCGTTATGACCAGACTAGGCAGTGAAGGCAAGGAATCGGATCTGTGACAACATTTCGTCTTTTAGGCAGAGCCCCATTGTGCGCCCGTATTTATACGGCCCCAAACTGCCCGCGCAACGCCGCGGGACGCGCTGCGCAATTGTTTCTTTCTCTCCCGCCAGAAAAATCCCCGCTTGTGAAGCAGTGACCATTTCCCATGCACATGGGTATCCAAGCCTGATGCGATGTAAGTGCACTTCTGTTGTTCTACTGCCCCCTTTCATCAAACTAAGTGGTTCGTAGTTGGTTGAATTCTTGTACCAACCCGCAGATCCTGATGTTGCAACTGCTGTGTTGTGGTCACTGTACATCTTTCGCATTGCTCTGTTTCGAATCACTTTCTTCATCTGGGATAGACTCTGTGGTATGTAAATGTCTACATTTCTCCTCTTAGTAGCAAGTTTTGCAGCTTCGTCTGCAATGTCATTACCTAATAGTCCCACATGACTTGGCACCCAGTTGATAAGTACCCGTCGGCCTTGTCGTTTGAGTGTGTGCATGAATGATAAGACATTGGTGATCAGATGGATGTTATCACATAGGTGTTCCTGTTGCAAGGTTTCAATGGCGGTTCTCGAATCTGTATGGATGATAACATGTTGACACTATCAACTGGCAGGTCAACAGTAGCCATAAGATACAGCTTACGCCATCTGTTGACATCAAATTACACTTATAACAAATTACCCTACAAAATACAACTAACGCCATCTGTTTTTTTTCCATCGCACTATAAATAGCCAAACAACAACCCATAAGGCGGGTTGTTGTGCTCGGGTAGGAGGTTCCACGCTCCGCCCACAAGATAGGGTATGGGGTGCATAAGAAAAAAAATGGTGGCATATCATTGGTAGAAACTATTTGTTGACATTCACACAACAGCCAATCACAGGAAGGGATCAGCTATAGGTGCCATCCACTTAGTAAATCATCTTTGTTCAGTCCACCAGTCCTGCTTATGGAATTGTGCTTTAACTTTAATTTACCCAAAAAGTGAAGTGTTAATTATTTAAAGTGTTAATAAAGTGATAATTAAATATTGCAGGATATAACAGATGTTATATAAAAATGGGTTGGCTACCTAACTTGTGACATTATTGGGGGTTGCCATGACACAAATAATGATACACTGCTCTGCCCTCTTATTCGAGTAAATTATTCAGTTAGATGGAGATTTCTGTCAGGTGCAAAACAGAAATTATTGTTCTTTTTCACAACACCCTTGTTGTTGTGCACAAGGACCTATTTCTTAGTTTAAATTTTATTCATAAAGAAGTGTTGGTATTCCCCGCAACAGCCAATCACAGGAAGGTATTTCTGGAAGCTCGGCCTCCTTATGGACTCAGCACATCGATCTAGCTCATGGCTCTCTGTTTCATCTCTTGTATATACAAACTATAATTTTTTTCGATTACTGTTATAATTAATAATATGAGATATAAAAGTTTTTACACAAAATGGCTAAATTCTGCCATTAAATGGACTTTGTCTTGTATACATACAAACATACACCAATTTATTACCATTCATCCATTATTAATTTCAAATGTAATGTATACTGTCTAGTTTTTTTCCTCTCGCCATTACTTGGTGCAATATTTGAAAGTTGTCTATTTATTTATAGATCTAACTATTATCTTGTATTTATATTTGCAAGTTTCTGTGCTTGGAAGAAAACTCTGCATTGAATTGGGACTAATTTATTAAATAATATTATTTAGTATTAATTAAGATTTACAATTATTTATAGCTTAGTTACTTTCATGTAACTCGCAATCGTACATTTGTCTCGATGATTGATTGACACATTTGTCAATCACACTGCACACATTTGTGAAGTGTGAATTTAATCCTTAAGTAAACAATAATCATAGTCTTACAAATTTATGTATTAGCGATAAGACCTACCATTAATGTATAATGATTTAATGGAAATATATAGCTCTTCAAATAGAACATTCTCTGTAACTAGCTGACGCTGTAATTATAAGGTGTGAAAGATAGATGTAATTGTTAATGTAATAATCTCCGTTGAGGTCTGATAAAGATGTCTTGTGCCCTCTGTAATCCTTTTTGCGCTACCGCTGACTTGATGAGTATGGGGTGCGCAATAAACTAGCCGCCTCCGGCGCCAAAATTGAATTGCTAGCCATGCAGACTACGAAACTCGACTCACATCCATGTATGACTAACCATCCAACGAGATGGAAATAATCAGAAAAATGATAGCTGCTCATATACCGTAAATGACCAATGCTGTAGTACGCAATAACCAATACACTGTAAAAAAGAACCAGCTACAAAAGCATAATATCCACACTTTTTCCAACACAAACATAATTTGTAACTATCCACTGTATTAGTATGATCGTATTGCATATGCGTATATAACCTATATTAATTTTGTTTGCATATTTTTGAAAATAAAGATTATATTTTGTCCGAAACGCTATGCGTACTAGTAGCTTTAGGTATTGTACGTACTACCTTTATCTTTAAATCTAACAGAATGTTTGTACTGTAACGCTGCAACTATGTATGTACTGTTCCTAAATAAATTATTATTATTATTATTTTTATATGCCATTGAGGTTAAATCGCGCGTCACGTGTCAGAGCAGCGGAGGCTTGTGGGAAGCTGCGACGTCACGGGTCACATGACCTTCCCCACTACCTGTGCCGATCAGTGAAAACATCTGTTTGTTGAGGTGACAGACCTGAAGACTTGGGGGGCTGAATATGTAGTGATTTGTGCTTGCGCTCGTACCGGTACTGCATTCCCACTAGAAGCAGACCTGAGAATCTATGTAAAATGGCGCTCAGGAAGGTAAAAGGGAACCTAGAGCGTATGTTTGACAAGAATTTGACGGATCTGGTTCGTGGTATTCGCAACAACAAGGAGACAGAGGTAAAGGTTCCATCTGCTGTTTCAGCTTCTCTAGTGCTACACGTGAAGTACATTAGGTATAGTGTGCTGGGACTGTATTTAGCGCTCGCTTCTGATGACTACCTTGCTATATATTACATCCAAATAGATGTCATGCTGGATACCCACCATCCTAGCATTATCGAAGTGAACTCTATCGTGGCATGGAGCAAAGGCAAGTTATGTAATATGAGCATTTTAGGTAGGGTTCATTTTTTCAGAACACTACTAGAATTGTCTAGTTGAAATTTTACGCAGTAAAAGTTTCTAGCATCTATTTTCATCCAACCCATAGCTTGTCATTGCCCCAAAATCAACAATAACAATTTCCTGTGTTTTGGCAGAGACTATTTCAGTTTGCTGTTTATTTTAAAATTTAAAGTGATATTTTAGAACTGTTTATTAGTGTGGTATTTAAATAGGCATAGTAACCAGCTCTTGTGTTAAAAAAGCCAATGACCACTTTGATTCCTAATTAGGTTTTCTGCAAATCTTGAGAGAGCAGATTGTATTGGAGAAAATACAGTACATTCTAAGTAGTACTGTTAATTGAACTTTCTTCGTGATGAACCCTTAGTGTTGACTACTAACATGAATAAGCCCAAAAATTCAAAGAACTCTTAATGTGTTTTAATAACTTGGAAAGAAAATAGGTATTCAGTATGAAAGTTTGAATGTTGTAATTTTCTAAATGACAAAACATAAGAGGTAATAACATAAGGCCCATTGGTCCATGCGAGGAAGTTCCTATTTACTGTATACTCAAGAAAACACAATATATCAACCCTTACACATGATCATAAGATAATTTTAATTGCCAAATTTAAGGCAATAATGTATATAATTTTGTATTTTCATGCAGATATGCAGTCCTTAAAATGTAGAATGAGACAAGGGTAGACACTTAGAAAAGTACATTAAGGGTAGTAAAGAACATTACTATTGAATAACAGTGCATGAAATTGTTAATATACTGAATGCAGGCATGGGTTGCAGGATTAATTTATTTGTATTTTATTTATATATACAAGTTCTTACATTCTTGTAAAGCCATGAGCATGCATAGCGTTTCAGGTAGGTCCTTAATCCTAATTTTCCCTGGAATACGATCCCCCTCCCCCAAATCATTTTCCACTCGGGTACCCATTTTACTGCTGGGTGAACAGAGGCTATAGTTAAAGATTGGCGTCCAGTCAATCCTCCCCGGTCAGGATACGAACCCAAGCCAAAGCACTCGCCAAGTGCCGGGTGAGTGCTTTACCACTGTGCTATGGGGATTGAGTGATCAAAACCAGCAAAATATAGGACATTGACCTTCACATTCACACCCCCATTTGCTTACAATATTGGCCTTCAAATACTGTAATAAAGAAAAGATATTGATAATGCATCGGGTTTATATTACGTAGTTTATTGAGAAGACGAGCAAAGTAGTTATGTTGTAAATCAAATTATAGGAGAGAAATCATAAAGGTCATAAAAATAGTTAAGCATTCATAAAATTTTTCTTGATCACTCACCCAGTCAATACTGGTAATCTAAAATGCCTGAAAATTATAATGTTAGGTTGTCAGACATGTTACAGAGAATGCTTCTATTAAATAACCTCATACTGTACTGGACTGAACGGTAAGAGTGGCAACTTGGCTTCTTGCAAGTAGGCATTCAGTCCCCGACTGTGTAAGTGATTGAGCACCATTCTTTCCCTCTTGTGTTTTCTCAAATCATTATCCTCGTATCCCTTCCAAGTGCTACTGTATATAGTTTTAATGGCTTGGTGCTTTTCCCTGAAAATTACCTTATATTTATTTATATCATTTGTAGGTGATCTGGTCTACAAGTACCTGTGCTGGTATTGAATTTTGTTCTTGTAAACTGGTGAATTTTTTTTTATTAAAGGATGACACTCATTTCATAGAATATTTGTATTTATAGCAATAGAGAAAGAAAGGATCCATATATCTGTGAAATGCTCTACAGTGCTTCTCAGATGTACAGGAATATTTTGTGATTTATGTGGCTGAATTTAGAGAATGAGAAGTACTGTATAAGTGTTGATTGTAAATTGTTAAACTGCTTATTTGACTTGATTGTGCTAAATTATGTACTGCATAACATAGTAAATTCTGTTTATAATTTCTGATGTAAGCATCCTTTTCAGTCAAAATACATTTCACAATGTATGGAAGAGATAAAGACAGAGCTCCGACAAGACAACCTGGCTGTAAAGGCAAACGCTGTTGCCAAGCTCACTTATGTAAGTATTTGTTTGTTGCTATTTTAATTTTTTTCTTATTGTCAAGTGTTTTATACTCTTCAAGTCCCCCTTCAATCATATCTTGATTTTCATTAACTCTCAAGTGAGCATTTAAGTTATATATACTGTACTAATGAAGATAGAATATTGTAATGGTATCAACCTTTACAATAACATAATTAGTTTATAAAATTATATTAATGTTAACTTTTTATCTCTTTTGAGCTGTATCCCAAGAATATGGGGCACTTTTTCTAGCAAGTAGAAATTAAGACCCCCAAACTCGACAACTAGTCAATTAATTTCTATAATTTGACATAAAGGCTATTGATGCTCTAGGCTATCTTGGGCTTAACATCCTTATGGCTCGGTCCTCGACCAGACCTCCTTTTTGTTACACATCCCCAGGAAGCAGCCCGTAGCAGCTGTCTAACTCACAGGTACCTATTTATTATTAGGTGAACAGGGGCATCAGGGTGAAAGAAACTGCCCATTTGTTTCTTCTTTCACCGGGGATCAAACCCGGAATGTTAGGGCTGTGAATCCCGAGTGCTGTCTATTCAGCCGTCAGGGGCCCCCACTTAGGAATGATTGATTACCTGTATTGAAAAATAACGAATCTTGAAAATATTTTCATAACCATTAAGCTCAATGTGGATCAATGCTAACATCATGCTAATAACCCAGAATATTTGAATTCTGCTTCAATACAAGCAAAGTTTTAACAGCTTTGACTGAGTGGGCAAATCAAATCTCTCTCTTGAACAAATCCACAAGGGCCGTGACGAGGATTCGAACCTGCGTTCGAGAGCATCCCAAACGCTGCCTTAATCAACTGAGCTACGATTATTCTCTTCCACCCCCCCCCCCCCCCCTTAAAAAAGTCAAAATTAGCATCAGCAGCTGCTTTATTTAATTTTAAAGCTAACCTTAAAATTAAAGGCAGAGTAGTAATTTTTGTCGTATCAGTTTACCTTGCATTACCATGCGAGAGCCCTGCACATACAGTATTTGAATGTGATGATAGCCAGAATTGCATTTATTTTATTTAACCCATACACATTAGCTTTATTTGGATGATATCAGTTTGTGTTGGAAAATATTAACCCCTTTTAAAGTGTTAGATTTCTGTGTAAGAGCCGTAGAAATATAATCCAAAATCTTTTAAAGGTTATCTGACTTGTTGACTTGAGTGGTAGCAACTGTACTTGTCACAATCCAAACACCCCAACACTTTTTTCTTTCAGCATCCCTTATTTACTCATCTGTTACGTTATACTCTACTTCACTGCAGGAATGCAGATAAATATTAGTCTTGTTCACTTATTTCATTAAACACCCACTGCAGCGTGCATGGTGTCGGTGTGAACTTATGTGAAGCAGACTGTACACAGCTTGACAGATGTTGGTCTGCCTTATTGAGTGCTGGGGGATACTTAAACACGACCGATTTTTTTTGCCAGGGAGGGCAGGTCAGAGACATGTTAACCAAAGCTGATTGGCTACACCAATTAGCTGGTACACCAATCTTACACCAGCTGATAATCATTAGCAATTTGGGCAAGGGCCAAATGACATGATGACAGTAGCCATGACTAATGATTTCATTGTGCTGAGAACAGTGTAAGCATTGAAGATTATCATTATATAGAAGATTCAGTAAATGGGGAAATCAATCTCAATTTATCTTCCATTATGATGGCCTGGTAAAGTGTGGGATTCAGCAGGAAAGGTTGGCTCCTTCCATCGATTTCCACACTTCACCAGGCCAGCAATAAGGTAGACAGGATTTTTTTGTACAGTATTTCCATTACGTTATCTTGAGATGATTTTGGGGCTTTAGTGTCCCCGCGGCCCGGTCCTCGACCTGGCCTCCACCCCCAGGAAGCAGCCCATGACAGCTGACTAACACCCAGGTACCTATTTCACTGCTAGGTAACAGGGGCATAGGGTGAAAGAAACTCTGCCCATTGTTTCTCGCCGGCGCCCGGGATCGAACCCGGGACCACAGGATCACAAGTCCAGTGTGCTGTCCGCTCGGCCGACCGGCTCCCATTCGTCAACATAGTTCTAACCTGAGTTTTTCCACATGATGAAAAGGAGCTTTTTGATGCCAGATACTATATTTAAAAAAATCATTTTGGAAAAAACCTGCTGAGTAGTGCCTAGAGGCAACTAGTTGACTTTTGTTCAGTGCTGTATGGCAACTCCGTAATGCCAATAAAAAAAAAAAAAAGAGGGTATTCCTTCCCAATATTTTTTTGCATTTTGTATCGTTAAAATCCCCTCCCTGATCATATAATGTAAAAAAAATCCACTCTGGCTGCAGTGAAGTGAAGTTGTGCAACATCATGAATTGTCTCGTGAGCAATTCAAAACCTGCAAGTTGCCACAAATATTCTTGTTATTTTTATTAGATAATAATATTTGTTTTTTTGTTTATCCTATACACTTGGATGTCAATTATGATTTGTACACAGTAGAACGTGTGTATTGTGGTTAATAATGATACATATCACTAATGTATCCACTAAAAATGTTTGTCACAATATTACTTGTTAATTTTTCACTAATAATATTTATACTGTCGCACTTTATGTACAGTATATTGTCACACATTTCATGTATGTACACACTCGGTACTTCTTGAGTGAGTGACATTCACTGAAGCACTCGATGGCTCATAAGGGAACTTTGCATTCTGTTCACCAGGCACATATTGATTTTGCATTTCTTGTCATCTTTGTTTGTGCTTGTAGACAGTGCACTTGAATGTACCCTTTGCAAGTCTTCCTGCACTTGGTATGTAACTAAGTTTGTGTAGTGCAAAGTAGTCTTTGCAACCCAGTCTGTCAGGAGCAACTTGAGACATTATTGGCATGAAAACTTTTGTCACTCCTTTCTTGTCAAACTTTACAAGCAACTGCAACAATAGAGCAAGACTCAAATTACTGTTTGGTGGTTTGTTGCCTGATTTCACCAAATGCATGTACAGTATATTTATATACAAGGTACCTTCGGTTGTGAAAGTACTGTACACACATTGGGGTTTGTGCGTTTTAACTTGGCAAGTTGGAGAATTTATATATACAACAACAGTCTGTACATGGTTTGTCAAAATGACATTGAGAGTTTGTCAAACTTTTAGTATGGACACCATACCTTTTCTGTCAGTAAATGGCAGAAAGGCTTTTTACATAATGGATTAAAGTACTGGTCCCCAATGAGCTTCACATTTGTGGTGAGCTAATCTCGTAATTTTAATTTTCCTATCATACACGGCACACCTATCCAGGGGGCAGCAGTGGAAAGGTTACAGTGACATGCATGCACTCAACAATAAGCAGACTTTGGATACCTGGCAGATTTGTAGTACAGTAGTTTATAATTTTGTGTATTATATTTTTGTTTTATAATTTTATTTAGACAATTAATGGTAAATTTTATTTATTCTAGCTACAAATGCTAGGCTATGACATCAGCTGGGCTGGCTTCAACATCATCGAAGTTATGAGCTCTCCAAAATTTACTTACAAAAGGATTGGATACTTATCAGCATCCCAATGCTTCCATCAGGACACCGAGGTCGGTAACAAAAACATTAATAATCTTCGTTATCGTTTATTATTGCCATTTCCATCTTTTGCCATTTTAATTGGGTGTGGAGGCCCAGTGAATAAAGGTGAATAATATAGTGAATATATTAAAGTGTGGAAGATATTTTACCTGATCATTAGCTGAAACAAGTTACATAAGGCTTGCTTCTGTTAGTTTTTAAACCTGGCTTGTTAAAAGTTAAAGAAAATAATTAATGTCTCTGTGCAAGTTATATATTAACAATACACTTTCTGGGCATAAGAATATACATGATATATATATGTGTGTGTATGTACAGTATGTATTATATTAAAAATTTTGAGTGGGCAGAATTTCTTAAATTATGATGCACTTCATGTTAATGTGTGATAGACAATATGAGGAATACCTACCTGGAAGTTGTCTGAACATATGTTGTGTAAAATTGAGTGGCAGATAATATGCTGTCTTCAGAATTATTGCTTTTATAGTATATGCTACAAGCAGATGACTTGATTATTTTTCCAGGTCCTTATGCTGACAACAAATATGATTCGCAAAGATCTGAATAGTCATAACATGTATGACTCTGGCACTGCACTCACTGGTCTAGCATGCTTTATTAGTGGGGATCTTGCAAGAGACTTGGCCAATGATGTTATGACACTGGTAAGTTTGACTAAGGCTGAATTAAAATGTTTTGACTTGATGAAGCTGTTACAGGAAAGTCTTTAGAGAGAGCTGGGTTATTTTGGGTAAGTTTTGAATGTGATGGCGCTTGGTTACATTATCATGTCAAAAAGTGTACAAAAGCAAGGGATTTGTCATGGAAAAAATGGGCTGGTGCCATTTTTTTTTTTTTTTAGCTGTTAATGGACATTTCCCAAAACTTTTTTCCTTATCTTCAGTGTAGCATTTTCTGGGAGAAGGGCCCTTCAGCAGCTTCCCTGTGCTACGTGCTAGTCAAGCCAAATTTGATTGAATGTGTACTGCTTTCTAGGAGGGTCAGTGGTTTGCATCCACATTTGCATAAATATACAAATGTGACCAAAAGAGGTCACATTTTGTGACCTCTTTGGGTTTTATGTAAGATCTAGATTTGTCATTTTCTTTAGGCTTTTTAGGGGGTTCTGTCTAGTAGCACCCCTTTCTTTTAGTCATTCAGGTTATTCACCAACACATCTGGCCTCGGCTAGGGGTTTGGTTTCCAGTACTCGCCACTGGCCTGTGGTTGTGATTTCTCGCCTATAGGTTGGGGCATATCAATGCGAGGGAGTTTGTGCGATTTTGTTGAATGGTCCACTTTAGCCAGAATCATGTAGGCAAGTATCCGGCTATTACTATCTTCTTTGTTCATAAGCCTTCAGCTAATATTTGGCCTTGGGGTATCTTGAGGTCTAACTTGATGTTGGCTGTACATTATCTGTTATATATTCCGTCTTTATCAGGCTTATGTAGCTCTTGGGTACCTTTCTATTTGCTGTAGTTATGTCCTTGGACCTAGATTTTTGGCCTTTTCACCCAATGGGTTACCACCTCCGTCTTTTTTTTTCATTAATTTATTTCGGCTCCAAGGTGCCATTTGGATTATGCATTGGAGAGCTAATGAGGGCCAGGCCAAAAATCAAGCAGTGACTATATGAAATGCCCTTTCTGGATAGCCTTTGTAGTTCTCCATACTCACCTTCCTGTGTTTTCTCCTGTGGTGATCATGCAAGTCATGGGGTGGCATGTTAGTAAAGCATGCAGGCAGGCTAGAGCACTGAGTGACTTGAGCTGCCACCTGGTGGTGCTCTAGTACATAGTTTGTTGACATTAAGCCAACTACTGCTACCCTTGTTTCCTTGTTTTCTCTATTCAAGATTTGTAGTTTGTTGTTTTGAGCATACATTGAACATACCTCAATGAACATACTAGTTTTTAGTCATGGTATTTGGTAGGCTGGCACAAGTTCAGAAGGTTGATAGATTTGTGGCTTTGTGGTAACAGAGCTGGTGCACTGGGAAGCTACTGGGGCCTAACCGAAAGGGTAATTTTATTACATTCAAGGCATGATTTTTTTAAAAATAGGTTATAGTGTGAAAGTATTCTCTGCATTGTAGCCATTATTTCACTGAATAAGAACTTTACAACCCCCCAAAAAAAATTTTTTTTTTTTTTAGACTTTTTGAAATTCTAAATAAATTTTATATAGGCCATGTATAGTGATGCATTTTCTAACAAATATATAACTGACAGTTTGGATAACCTTGCAGACTAGAACAGATTGTTAGACACGCTAACCTTTCATAAAAAGCGATCTGCACAAAATAGTGTAAAATTGAAAGTTTATTGTGTTGAAGTTTATCGAATCATGTTATTCCTAGTTATTTCTAACTAAATATATATTATATTGATAATTTAAAATGACTATATTTAAAAAATTCATATTTTTAAAATACGTCTTTTCACATCTTCTCATGAATAACGTACATTCATGTTATTTTGACTTGGATATAACAGTCCTTAGCTTTGCCACAAATATCATGCCATAATAAGATTCCTTCTTTAGTTCTTTCACATTATTTATTTATGTGTAGCCACGTTTAATAAATAAATTTAAAACTACTATAAATGTCTTCATTTCGTGTTAATGTAAACATTAATAAATTTTTCTAAGCATTTTAGAAATATTGTAGCAGCAACATCTCAAGGAAGTCACCCATTAGTCACATTAGTTACACCCTTGGTGTATGCAACTTTAGAAATTACTGATGTATTTGAAGATGATAAAGTAGACTTTTTCAATGACATAGAATGATTATCAGATTTTATCATTGTAATGATGAAATACAGTAAATATTAGGAATCCAGTAATCCAGTAAACTTCTTTTGAAAAGGAAAAACTTCTATATGTGTGATCATCATATTGAATGTGCTAAGAATGAGTTTGCAGGTTAATAGAAATAGAATAGAATGGCAAAGTACTCTGGCAGTATAGAATAAATAGCTCTCTGCTTTATTATATAAATGTAGTGTCGAAGTCTTGGATCTTGTGTTGAAAGATCCAAGACCTAGATACAGTACTTGCTACCTATTCAAGGTTCCAGCTATTACACTGTACTGGAAAGAGAATACTACCCTTTGAGGGACTAAATCATGACACCAGACAGAAGTAGGTGATATTACTGTATATGGGAAGTGAGATTTTTATTTACATTTTTTTTTTTCTACAGCTTACGTCAACAAAGCCCTACTTGAGGAAGAAGGCAGTTCTTCTTCTCTACAAAGTGTTTTTAAAGTTTCCTGAAGCGCTAAGACCAGCATTTCCAAGGTTGAAAGAAAAACTTGAAGATCCTGATCCTGGTGTACAGTCTGCAGCTGTTAATGTTATCTGTGAATTGGCACGCAAGAATCCCAAGAACTATCTCAGTCTTGCTCCTGTATTTTTTAAGCTAATGACGTCCTCTACAAACAACTGGATGCTCATCAAAATTATTAAACTGGTGGGTATAATAAATTTTAAATTTTATTTGTAAGGTAAGCTTTCATTTTCAATTATTGGAATAAAAGTTAAATCTTTTCTCTTTTTTCATCTTTATTTATTGCTGTTCTGGATAATAAGTAATTTGGCAGATGTCATAAATTTGTTGGCACTTTTGGCTTGTCGTGTTTATATCTTAAACAGCAGTTATTGTCATGTGTTGATTCACAGGGTAATGTGGTTATCATCATATGATGATTTAAACAATTATTGTCTGGGTTTTATGTGTATGAGGCAAATAAGGTTATACTGTAATAGCTCTCTGGATGAAATGGAGTTTACCTTGACCCATGGAAAAAATCCTGATATGTGAATGTGGTTATCGTTATGAATGCTATTAGGTGAATGCGGTTGTTACCAGTATAAAATTCCATCATAATTACACATGTGTACAAATGATGTTTAATGTGGTTTTCATAACTCTGTATGGTTATAGTGAGGTATACCAGATAAACCAATCATCAATTGAATCATTATCATACATTACATGTACTAGGAACCTATCATCTGTGGTGGCACATTGGTGACTTGTGCCTTTCTTTCAATCTATGCTCTAGCCCATATGGTGCCAGTTAGGCCATATATCATCACCCAGAGCCCAACACCATTGAATGTTATGTTCATATCCTTTATATGGTTGTAATGAACTATACCAGCTAAACCAATCATCAATTGAAATGTTATCTATGTGATTTATCAAGCTATTCAACACACTTGTCAGAGAAACAAGTGATAAACAATTGCCCCAGGCCTCAGCCCGGCCTGGGGGCCAGGCTTGAATAGGTTCACAATTCCTCCTCATTCGAAGGAGTACAGTTTGAGAGAGCTTAAGTGGTTCCAATAATTTAGTGTTTCAATGGCCAAATTCATTCAATAAAGTTCTCTCATTTTAACAACTTCTCCAGCTTTGAATGCGGCTGTTAGTGTGCAACAAGATTTCCATCATAAATTGCACACTAGTCTTAATGTATCGTATCATCATTAGTTTGGCATATCTTGCTTGAAAGGTTCTGGTTATCCAGCCTTTTATTTTTCTTGTGGTTATGACTGGTACTTGTGTTCTACAAAAGTAGTCTTCCGATAAGATTATTGCCAAGTCATTTATGTTGGTTTTTCTTTACATAGTATGATTTGATTCGTTTTATATGTAGTTCTTGGAGCTGGAACTTGCCATTATTGAAGATAATTTTTTTTTTCTCCAATTGGAAGAGCTGGTTTGTCAGTTTGGAAGCGTGCTGAATCATCTTCACTTTTCTATTCTCATAAAAATCCTGCAAAGGGTGATATACTATAGCTTCAGTTATTTTCTGTATGAAATTGAGGAAGATTTCTGGAGCAAATATGAGAACGGGATATTATTGACGTTAAGTCAAAGTAGAAAACTGTTGCAAGTGGAGTGCCCCAGGGGGGAAAAAAAAAAGAGATCATAGGACCTCTTGTTTACTATATATATACAGAAATGATATAGAAATATGATAGAACAGCAGCATTTAAAAAATTAGAGATACAGAAGGTTGACAGATGCATTTTAATGCTGAAAAATGTAAGATTCTAAGCTTTTAGTAATAATAATAGTTGCCAGATACAAGTTAGACCATGTTGAAACTGCGAAGTCCGAATATGAGAGATTTACGATTGATGATTAGTAGGGATCTTAATCTGTACCCACATTTTCTTGTACATAATGTCTATTTTGCTTTTTGCCTTCCTCTTCCTGTGTTAGGTTTTAGTTCATTTAACATTCTAATTTCTCTCATTGGTGCTATGCTACATGCTCTTGTACTGGCCTAACATACACTGTATATAACATTGTTAGATTTGTTGGACAGGTTCTTGAAAGCCATTCTTATGTTTGCTAGTTTTGCATATTGCAGCATATGTTGTTGTTAATGAGGCTCTGTTGCCGAGGTTCGTGTTAAATCCACTCTCGGGACCTTTTCCCTGTTTGATTCTAGTAATTGTCCCTTTTAAAAAGTAATGTCCCTTTGGTCTCTCCAAATCCTATTTTCATACATTTTGGGGAATGATCATAAGCAGCCACATATTCCTGAAAATGAAGTGAAGAAATGTAAGGCAACATCTCTAATTGAGTGAACATAAAGTAAAAGAAGTCATAGATGACATCTACATCCTCAGCTTCTAGAGCAAATATTAAATTTTTTAATTATTAATAAAGACACGAGATTTAAATTAAGCTACGAAGGGGTGGCCATGACAGAAAATCATCTAAGCTACTAATTTAAATGTATTACAGAATACTAATTTGTACTGTATATCCTTTTGACCATCTTGATAATATTATTCCACTTACAGTACTTAAAATGGAACATAAGTAAGGCTTTGTTAGGGTCCTTTCCAGCCAAAAAAATTAAATTTTCTTGAATAGCAAAGCTTCAGTTCATTACATTGACCTTTAGATATTGTGTGGCAAATTTTACACCAGTGGTTAGTTTTATTGTGTGTACTTCATACAGCATTTGATGACCAAACCCAACTCGACCAGGTATCAACCAGGTAACTCGGAAGATGGAGAAGCGACGACGTTTTAGTCTGTCCTGGCCCATTATAGGCATGTAATAATGGTCCAGGATGGACCATTATCACATGGTTTGTTTCGGTCCTTCCCAGACCATTATCGTCATCGCTTTTCCATCTTCTGAGTTGTGATTTGGTCATCATTTCTTCAGCCACGTTATTGTGACTCGTCGTCTGCTTATACTGTACAGGATTTCTTTCATTGAAGTTCTTTATATTCTGAATTTGCTATTCTTCTTTTCCCCTTCTTGATATAGTTTGCATAGCGACCTTGTGGTTTTACCAGGGGTTGAAAGCCTGTCTTGTTCAAGTTGACCCTGTTTTGGCCAGCAAGTTTTAATGTTAGATAAAAATGCAACTTTTGTGTGTTCAACCTTTGGGAAAGGTTGAAGTGATCTTAATTTGTCTTTCATGAAGCACTATATTTTATATATTTTGTTTATTTCCATGTGGTTTGACAAGAGTTCTTTCAGTTTGGAGTGCTCACAGGCATTGAGCCCAAACTTGGACGAAGACTGAGTGAGCCTCTCATTGAGATTATCAGCAGGTATTAAATAACAGAATTTTATTTCAAAATTTGTTTGCTTGTTTCCAGGTAGTTCTGGCTACATGCAGTATGGCTTCATCAGTGTTTTCAAACTATAATTATCCCTGTTAGCTTTATGTAACTTGGTATTTTGCTATAGCTGAGGATTATTGTTTCAACTAGTTTAAAATTAGTAGTTGCCAGGAAATGATTAGTTTTAGGATTGACAAGTCTTGATTAAATACTACCCCCCATACTGCTTATCAGTTTCCATAGAGCACTTGCTTTGGTTGAAGCTAATTGTTACAAAACCTTTGCATTTACTTTCATAGTTGAAAATGTTGTGCATTTTCTGTGCTCTATATATTTTGCTACACGTATATTGTAAAGTTCATAGATAGACACTGATGCTGGTAATTCTAGAACACTTTTAGTTGCATACCTGTCCAGAGGTAGATGTGGGTACCAGCAGTGTAAAGAATTGCTGTGAACATGACTCGCCAATGAACAGATAAAGTACCCATGTCCTTCTGTGGCAAATTTGATTACAAATGGTTAAAATAATTATTTGCTAGACAAACAGCTGATACAAGTATGGAGGATGTGTATATTAATGATATGAGAACTAGTCGCATTAATTTTAAACTGGGGCATTGATTTTTCTAATAAAAAAATTTCCTTGAATTTCTATGAAATTGTGTGGAACTTAAAGTAATCCGTGCACTACGTACCTGTTTCATCATCTTTGTGGTGAGCACGAATAAAAAGAAAAAATCACATTTTTTCTTTCTAATATTGTTAAAATGCATTCCCTGATCATGGGACAGTAACATAGAAAGTCTCACAATGGTGTCACTGATTCGTGAGCACTAATGGATGAAATGCCCTGTGGAGGTTGATTGGGCCAGGTGGGTGGCGGGAATTACTGCAAATATATTTATACCGATTTATTTCAGTGTCACTGTTTTATGTTCACTGGTTTTTGGCAGTTATGCAATGCACCTGTAGTGTGCAATTTGAGAAGTTTCTATAATGAGGAACCAATATACACAAATTCATTTATCACAAATATATGCCCAATATTACATTCTTTGGACGATAAAATGTACAGTTTTTATTATCACACTGTATACACATTTTACATGTAACTGTCTACATGTTAATGCACTGATACGAACCCGTAAGCAGTTCGAGCAACTGTGATAATCTCATGACTATTAATCGAAGGTTAACATAGCCTCGCATTTTGCATCAAGTTGTAAGTACACTTATTGAATACATTTGATTTTCTTTGCATTTTTAATGTCTTTTCCATGGTTTCTTTTAAGTGCAATGATGCATTGGGCTGTCAATTATGTTATTTATATGACAGGATGTGTAGATATCAGTATGCAGAAAGATAAAACATGCTGTTTTTGCTATCTCTCTGTATTCACTTGTTATATATAATTATCTACATGTTTATGCACCAATGCAAAGCACCAAGCAGTTTTGTTGAATGTGATAATCTCGTAACCATTAATTCATGAACAGCATAACCATGCACTCCTCCAGCACCTGACAAAACAAAGTACTACCTGGTGTACTATGCACATCGTGTACTCTCGTCAAGACATTTGTTTTCATCATAATCTTGGTCATTTAATCCTGAATGAACTACATTATTTGTCACTTGTTCAATTTCTAAAAGAACATTACCCTGTAGGTCCCATTACATAATGTCTAGATATCAAACTGCGGCCGTGTGCTGTGGCTGTCTGGCTGGCTTTGGGAACATCATCACTAGCATCGGGTTTACTGATATCCGATTCTTATGTATAATCTTTTATCACTGTCAGGGTCTTGTGTGTTATTTTCATCAATAAACATTTGCAGATGATTATTTCCTCGTTATTAAGTGA